TAAACTTCGTGAGTTATATGTTCTCTTAGAGCGGGAAGATTTAGGTCTCAAGTATCAGATTTTGCTTTTGCTCAAAAAATCGAATGGCACTTCAACCCACCGCTGACTCCCCATTTCGAGAGTCTATGGAAGACAGCCGTAAAGTCATGTAAACATTATCTAAGACGAGTCGTTGGTGATCGTTTGTACACGTACGAAATTCTCTCGACTTTCACGTACGAAATCACAGCTATTCTCAATTCGCAACCACTATGCCCGATCTCGATGGACGCAAATGACCCTATACCCTTAACGCCAGCTCATTTTCGAATAGGGCGAGCTTTCACGATGCTGCCGCAGAGTGATGTATTTTCTGTTTCAGATAATCGTTTGTCTTGCTGGAAAATGATAACTAAATCCAAACAAGATTTTTGATGCAGGTGGCAGATCGAATACTTGACCGAATAGCAGAAGCGGCAAAAGTGGTTTAAGCCAGATATGAATATTGAAAGGGACACGGTAGTCCTTGTAATCGATAAAAACGAGCCTTGTATGCAGTGGCAAATTGGAAGAGTGGTAGAAGTTCATCCAGGAGGCGATGGAGTGGTGAGAGTGGTCTCAGTAAAGATAGAGAAACGCGTATATTTAAGAAATATAAAGACACTATGTCCTTTATTGAACACCAAGAAAGACTTTGAAATCTCGAGTCAAAATGATGATCAACATTGAAATTTTCTTTATTGCAATGAGAAACAAATGTAAACAATACGAAAATGATTGGTTGTAATTGGTTGTGTCCTCTCCCAATGGGGAAGAGCATGTACAGCATGTATCTATGGCGAAAAATGAGACACAACATAGGGAAGAAAGAAGCTATATACATAATGAAGGAAGCCAGCGTACACCTGTGTGTGAGTCAGCTGTATACACGTTTGACTTCGGGAGCCTTTGCTAGCGCCAAGCTGAGCCTGACCGACTGCGCTCTCTGACTCAGTTCTTGCTACGCAGCGAGAAGGGGCACATGGTGCTCTAAGAAAACCTTTTGCGATTCGTCGTGTTCAGTGCGTTAGCTAACGCCCGTGAGTTCGAAGCGTTCTGTTCGATCGAGTCTACACTAATTAACTACTTAATGACTTACACAGCCATCATGGTGCCCTGGCTGATGAGTCTTTGCTCGTGAACGAAATAAGCAAGAGGTTTCTTTTCATATTGGTAACGAACGAACGCTACCTCTTTTACGGGGCCCCATTATCGACTTATTTACCGATTTTTATAAAGAATTAGTAACACACCGTTATTATAAAATACAACAAAGTGTCCGTAACCTAAGATTGATAGAACACACGTTCATACTTTTATACTCTTGTAAATCTTAGCTATAAGCTCATTTATGTATCCTTATTGATTTGTATTTCAGAATAAATAATTTATTCTTATAAGCAAAAGGACTCTATCGTATAATTTCATAAGAGTGTGAATAGTATTAAAAGAGACATAAATATCAACTGTGGGATGACCTCAGATTGAGGAATTCCCAACCACACACTTACATCTCAACAAAATTTTAAAGTTAATATCTGTCAATCGTACTGACGCTTGAGCCTAAGAGCTAGTCCAAAAGTATTGTCTCGCTGGACTAAGTAAATTAACGGCACTATAAAAAGTTGAGCTGCCTATCTATAGTATTTAATTAATCAGTTAATAATGCCCGTATGGCTGAATGTCTGACTTTATGCAGCTAAGAGTATGGCTTAAAATTCATTTCAAAATCTAGCTTAATTTCTCGCTCAATTTGTGGCTGCATATCTAGCTTAAAGTCTATCTCACAGTCAGGCTAAAAGTATGGCCCAGTATTTGTCTGAATTTTTTGCTCAAAGGCTCGCTTTATGTCTGGCTACAAGTATGGCACAAAGTCTGGTTTACAGTCTGGCTCAAAGTACAGCTTAACTTTCAGCTTGAGGTCTGGCTAAAAATGTGGCTAAGTGACTGGATGAATGTCTGGATGAGTGTCTCGCCTAATATCCAGGTAAATATTTGGCCCAAGCATATAATGTATGTTATAATGACACAAAAATTACCTACATGCCTAAAACAGTCTCGCTGATACAACGTATACACAATGAGCATAAACTAGAAGCTTCTTTGACCTTATTCTTCGAAGCTATTTGTACGCTGAGAGGAGGAGAAAAGGACATCAGAGAAAAACCAGTTAGATATCAGAGATACAGCAGTATCAGCGGAAAAAGATAATAAAATTCATATATGACTACCAGAATAAGCAGTAGCTGCTTGATCGAGAGTGACTACGATGGGAGATATGCAGCAGCAGCAGCGGTGGCCATGGCCTAAGTGGCATATGCTGTAACATGTTAAAATTTTAGATTTAACAATTCATTGGGAACCACAATTTTATAGGGTTAGTGCAAGATCCTTTCTAACTGCCATAGTGTGATTAATTGCTCTAAGAAAAAGAAATCACTAATAAATGATCCAGTAAATGTGCGCTTAGAAATGAAATTTCATGAAAATGTTTCTAACAACACATCATTGGTTAGTTGCCTGACTCTACAACATCGCATTATACAGGACTGTCAAATAAGTAAGGTTGTAAAAAAACGTAACTGGGGTTTGATAGGACTACAATCTTTGAGGTGGTAGCAGTGCAGTTACAGCACTATAAAAGACACAACTGTTTGAGTTTGAGTGCAGTAAATCTCTAGCAACCTCAGGGTTAATATTTATGTGGCACATAAGCCTATTCGGTGTAACATCAGTAGCAACATAAAATATTATTAACATATATCTTAGGATGATGATGATTATATAAAAGAAAGATCTTGGCGAAATAAACGAATGAATCAAAAGCATTAAGATATCAAAAAGTCTGTTTCTGGTTAAAAAAGTTGTAAAAAATGAAATGAATCGATTCCACAGTTGATATACATGGCTACAAACAGTCTGTTAATGACTTTGTGTTAACAGAATTAGCCGTAATTTTGTTAACAAGAGACACTATATCTATTGCGTTTACATCAAAGCAAATATTTTCTTGATACAGGCTTACTAACAAATAAAGAAAAGGAAACACTTGGCTGCAATGTCATTATCATGAGATACCATGTTATACAGATGAGCTACCACAAAATACTATAGGTAAAATCTTCAGAGAGTATCTCGTTAATGCGCGCAAAATGTCTGTAGGTAGCTTTGTGCAGAAAAGTTATTGAGACAAACTTAAATTTTATGTTTTTAATACTATGGAGTTTAGTTATCTAACGATGGATAAAATTAAAATTCTAAGTGTTTCCAAAAACCACTATAAGTTATGCAACTTAAACTGTGCTCTACATAACATTGAGCTTTTAAAACATTATATTATAGCAGTAAAATGTATAGATTAAAAGTAAAAATTCAATTAAGACGCAAATCAAAGTCTGTACCTTACAAGGTATGGCCATTGTCTCTCCTTTCCATTAAATTTTGAAGCCATAAAGTTTCCTACTTCCGTACCCATAAGAGCGTGGTTAGGGCTCTTATCATTATACAGGAGAATAATTTCTACTGTAATAATAGCAGCAGTGCATTTTTTGAAATTAAAGCAAAGCTATTTTCACCGATACGTACTGCAAGGTCAGTATAATGCTATAAGGCGTAAGTCATACCTCTTTAGAAAAGTAGATCAGTGCTGATACATAACAAGGAACGATCTCATACCTATAGAGCTACAAAACCTGGCCCCATACCCTTATAGCTGGAGTGGCCCCGTACCCTTAACTCTAGGAAGCCAGGCCCCGTATTTCCTTATATTACCTACTGTTCATATGTCTTATTGTAAGTTGCAAGGCCAGTCCGTAAATTCATTATGCTCTACAAATATTTTAAGGGTATTTATATAATTAGCATGTTTTTAAACTTCCAGAAACTCATTAACATTCAATTTACGACTAAAGAAGGTCAGGCATAAAGTCTTATGATTAATAATTTGAACTTGTTATTAGTAAATGAACAACTATTACTTCTAAAAGTATAATTGTACTCATGTATTTACTTTTATAAGATTATTAAGTCTGATTCAACTGAATCTCACTTCTGTAATCACACGTACCTGCTCCAAGCTGATGCAGAGGCTGCATCCTCTGTATAAGATATTTGACGAAAGTTCTTACATGTTAACAAAAGCCTTATACCATGTGGCTGCAAGTAATTAGTAGGCTATAGAGAGAAAGACGATTCTCTCCTGCTGTCTCATTCAGTGAACCTGCTAATTACAAGCAGCTATTTGTATGTGTGTATGTTCTTAGATGTTTGCTTACATGTAAGAACATTCATCAAATAACTGATGCTGAGGGTGCAGCTTCTGCATCGGCTTAGAGCACGTGTGCCACGAGTATAGGCTCAAAAACTGAGACTCTTGGTGTCTGTAAGAATTGTCCTTTAACATTTATCATCATTTTTCTCCTATTATTACTACTAATGGTTTTCTTCCTTTTTCAACATTAAAAAAAAGATAGTTTGCTCATAACTTTAACTGTAAAGCTATTACCATTTTAAAATAAACCTTAAAATATCTGATATATTAGCTGCAATGGCTTAGAGTATAACTGGTGATAACGGTAAGTAGATATAATTATTAGCTTTTTTTCATTTTGTTTCAATTTGTTTCTGGAAAAAAAAAAAAAAAAAAAAAAACATAGCCATGAACTGTTTCGTTTTTAGCAATAAAACTTAACTTAGAGTCATTTTGTTTCATTTTTCAGAATTAAAGCTAAAATCAATTTTACACACAATTTGTTCTGTTTCGTTTCTGTTTTCATAACAGAAACGCAGTCACAAGAACTTTGTTTCGTTTCTTGTCCTAGAAATAAAATTAAATAGTATTTATAATTTGTATACAATTTGAGTACAATTTTTTGTTGGCCTGTGTTATGAGAATTCTCGTGACTTCCTTAAACTTTTCAAATCCCATAGTTTTTTTAAAGGATTTAACAGACTGAACTACAAATATCTGATAGAGTACTCACGTGTGATTTGTTCCTTTGTCAGATCTTCCTGTAATTATAAAAAAAGTTCAAGTACAGTAACCACACAAATTGTTCTTAAAGTGCAATGAAATAAAAACTAAGAAAACATTTTACAATAGCCAAAGTTTTTTTGCACGTAACTATTTACTTATTACTTGTATGTTAGAATCTATAATAAGCATCATTTAAATTTTTCAGGAGTGTTGTAGTTATTAAAAAATAAAGTTGAAAGTTCAGTAAAAAATAGCTTAAATTCGTAGCACACAGTCTTGTATTATATGATTTTAAGATATGCTTTCATTACGTCAAGGGTATTTAAAGTTCGATAAGATTAATAGTTAATCTAACTTGTACTTATCACTTGGTCTTAATTAGATAACGATGAGTCTGGCTTTTATCATTCAGAAATCCTTAAAAGTAAAAAGTACTTTTTACAAACCTTTGACCTTTAATTGTAGAAGAAAACTGATTCATGGTGCACAATAATTTCATATTAAAAGATATCACAATAAGCTCGTTTTTCTACGTTGTATCATATTCTCAACTTTTTATATGAGTACCTTGTTTGTCATATTATATAATTAAAATATTTAGAACTATGACCATACTAATTGCTATCAAGTTGAGCGAATAGTGAGATAAGCTTATATGAATGTATAGCAAGTCACACGTATTTCCTGGAGACAAAAAAAGGATGTATTAGATGATTTCTCACAAAGTAATGGACAGAAAAACCTTAGACTGCCATCAACAATTCAGTAACAAGGATGGCTTATGAAACTAGAATTTTCTGAAGTATATGTTAAAACCGGAATTAGAAAAGTTGCATTTAAAACGTATAACTCGTGCAATAAAAATCTGTGTACAACACTGCAGCCATCATTGTAGTTTTAAAACTTGAAAGTTTTGGTACCGTTCGCTGTGAAGCTTATTTTATACTTATTCACTCAAACACACTAAACTGTATGTGTTTTCAACTTTCGATTAGTTGTAAGGAAACGAAAACAGTGTTTGCTAATATATTTTTATAGTAAATGTATTGTGAACTGCTTACCGACCCAGATAAGTATTCAATTTATACTAAGTGATAATTCATTTTATTATAATTATTGGTACTATTTTAACCCTCTTGGCTTTATTTTCTATCTTTTTTTTCCTTGTCTATCTTCTTCGACGTTATCTGTATCCATTGCTTCATGCTTGTCAATCACCTGAGTAATAAAGAAACTTTTTTTATCTTTTTCTACCTTATTTTAATCGATTGTCTTTACATATAGTAAATTGTCGTGTTTTTCGTTAATATTTTTATGATTCTTTGATTTTTTCTTACAACGTGTATCGGTATAATAATTCTGTATGAAGCAGAAAATAAATATGTTTTTTTTCTGCTTTCAAATGAAAAGGTAAGGTCTTATGTAGTTTCATTAGAATAGAAAGTTTTTTATAAAGTTTTATAAATTTTTTTCTGCAAAAAAATATATACTAACAGACAAAACAGTTTTTTTTTTTTTAAATAAAAAATTTGCTTAGACAGCACGGAAATAGTGATTCCCTTAAAATTTTAGCTATTTTCGTAATGCGTATAATTTAGTCCACGTTTTACATTTTCATATTTGGGATATAGTGCTACCAAGTGAGCCTATTTTCAACGTTGCTGATTTAAATTCTCTACGCTTACACAAACTTTTTTTTTTCTTGGTAATAGAAAAGTGTTCTACGTAAGAACTACCGCTCATTCATAATACTTATTCATTTTTACTACCAAATTTGAAATTGAGCGTACAGTCCATCTGGAATCATGCTCCTAAAACTCTTCTATATCTATACAAATAGGCTTCTGGACATTCGTTTGAAATTGTTTATGCATATTAGTCGTATAAAAAAAGGAATTTATGTAAAAGGTCTTGAAACAATTAAATGGTTCTGCCTTGTGCTATTTCATAGGTACAATACTCATAGTATTATTTATATGACTCACTAAGTATGAACAAAATACAATTATTTTTATACGTACACGTATTATATTAAGCCATCTCTATCTGAAAAAGAAATGTAGAATAATATCAAATGTATAAGCTATACATTTTATTCAGCTCATTGTGCTGTGAAGAATGTTACAGTTTAAAAAAATAGATTTTAAAAGAGCCAGTACGACAAAACAATACTTTCTTTAAAATCTACACTTGATACACAATACTTATGCACTGAGTTAGTTCTTTCTCATTATAAGTCTATGTACATATCGCACTCAGCTATAAGTGGTCCCGACATAATAAGTTTAATTACATTATTTTATTGTTTGGCTTGTAACTTATTTTTAGTACAATTCTTTATTGACTGTTTAACAATTTATTTGGCTTTATTACAAATAACAGTAATATAATTTATCAAACAGATACGTTTTTTCATTCAAATGTTTTCTTTGAAATCTTTAAAATTATTTTATTTCAGCAGAGCACATTATTTTGTATTAATAAGTATTTTTCTATTAACCGTTGGTTTGTTTGTATTACATTGAATAAATAATCGCTTCTACAATTTTTTTATAATGTTTCAAAATTTGCAAAAATAAAAAAAACTTTCTGTACTGTACAAAGACAATAATTAATTTTTACTGCATTCTATTTTTTTACAGTTCTTCCGCTCGCAATTGTAGTGTTTTTTTTTTTTTTTACTTAAGGATGTTTATCAAAATAAGCGGGGAAGAAGCTCAGAGTTGTTAGAGAAGTACAAATATGCAGCAACGCTGGCAATTATTTTTCTCATATGAATGTACTTACATAGACGCTTTTACGCTCACTTAACCCTATCTTTGTTGCATTATTAAAAAACAAAAGCGTGTATATCTAGTAGCAAATAAAATAAGGATATCGTAAAATAATGTTTTATACCCGAAAAATTAGAAGATTTCTATATATCGTACGAATGCAATCTTACATGATTTTTCCGTAAGGTTACAAGTTCAATTGAGATTTTTTTAATTTATACATACAAAAAACGGTATAGTTAAGGAATCTAAAATTTTCAAAGTATTTCTTTTGCTAATTTGAATATACGATAAATGTTTAAATAGTATCTGTGGAAAAATCTCGGTGTGATAAACGTCCTGAAAGGACACTCACTGGCGTAAAATACTACTCTATTAAAAGAAGTAGTACTGCAGGATGCTTTGTCTCTACTTTTACGATACAATTATATTTAGTATATCCAAAATGGATTAGGAATAAGTGTGTAAGTGCATGTGACAGATGTGAGCGTAACGTTAGACATGGAATCAACGTAAGTAGCAGAAAGTTGTTTTAGATTTATTGGAAGACTTGATGAAAGTGCACAGTGTTCTAGTGGCCAGTCTATCTATTGTTTATATTTTAAAACGCCGTAATATTGTATATACTAATGTATTTTTTAGGCATTAAAGTAATAATTGATACCACACCTACTTTACGGAGGTATACTTAATCTTACAACAATTGCAACACCTTCGTACACAATATTGTTTGATAAAAAGTATTTTTATACTTATAGTAATATTTTTTGCCATATAATTTGATAAAAGAAGAAGTTTATACTTGGGTACCCAAGTAGCTACTGTTTATTGGTTTTTTTACCTCATACCTCCTTATTATTACGCCGATTAAGACTTTTGTATCGCATTAACTGACTTCATTCTTTGGCAAGGTACTACGTTAGAGATAAGTAAACCAAGCAACGTTTGGGTATGCTTTTCAAAATAAAAGCTCCTGGCATCTAGCATCACTGGATGGACTTTCTCTCAAGAAGAAAAAAGAATGACAACTTCCATAACTCAATACACCCTTTCTCTGGAAGATCAAAATTTGACGATAGTACGGTATATGCCTAGATGAGAAGCAAAAAAAATTGGCCACAACTAACACATACGAATGAATAAAAAAAAAATCACTCTACTACTTGGCTAGGTACTGCGTCGAGTAGTTTAATTAACAGACAGTTAAATAGGATACGTGATCCACTTTTTATTATAAAATATTATATATTTTTTCTCCAATCACTCGATACGTTTGTTCTTCAGAAAAAAAATTTACACTTAAATGCCTTGATAATGAGCGCAGAAAAAAGATTCTACTATAAAAAAGTTCTCCTTTATGTTTCATCATCCTTCTCTTGTTCTATGATAAGCTTGTTAGTAGCCTATACCTCTTGGGCCTATACGTCGGAGCTGATGATTTATTGTTGGGAAGAAAGGGAGCCATCTCTTTAAACCATCTGATATCACAGCATCCAGAGCACAATGTCCTCTAACTTTCCCACGTGAGCGGTCCTTACTACCCAATATCACAGACTCTCCTACCCCCACACCATCCTCCTCACCACCAAGTATCCTAATAATCTATTAACACTTCTTATCTACCACAGTTTTTACAAACGCAGCATTCCAAAACAAAACATTATGGACAAATATAATCTAATATACATAACATTATACCCTCAAAAACATTGATACCATGTGCTTAAATTCAACGATCCCTAAAACCTCTTTGACTGACCGTATTCTGTAAAAGAAAGCAGATTTTTATTCTGATTAAGAACATTGTAACTTCGTACCTGGCCAACTTCTGACATGCATACAACTACCCCCAGTACAACACTACGACCACAACTGTGCATTTATAGCCTCTCTAGTATGACCACCATACCCCAGTGCCATAACCAAAAGTACCCTGCATAGCGTGGATATTTCCACTTCTACTGTTAATGGCTCACCTTTAACGAAATATTAAAATACCCTTAAAGAAGCCACTACCATGCCCCCAAGAAGCCACTACTCGTGAACTCGAGAACCACTAACTAAAGGTCCGCAGCCACTACTAGCTGTGCTCAAAGGGGGTGCGGAGTGCGCCTCGCAACCCGAGGCATCGTTAGCCACGTGTTACATACCCATTAACTCCTGGCACCACGAAGCTACTAACTTGGCATGAAAGGTTCGTAAGAGCGTCACTCTCACTGTTTTACGCATGTTGTAACCTCTATAGCCACTGCATATACAGATAAACCGTACTCACCTGGGCTAACAACTTTTTGAATCCTTGGGACTCACGGTACTAAATGCTAGTTCTGGCCTTAGTATTTTAGCAACTCTGAAAGTGACTGATCACACCCAACCAGCCAAGGAAAAATCGAGTTAAATACTCTAATAATTCTTTTCTTAGTCAATACAACCTATAATAATTAGCCAAAGTCGCGAACCACACTGATTCTTTCACAACTGTGCAGAATTCTTTTTAATTGCATAAGCCAAGGGCAAATTAAAAATCGCACAAAAAGACTTAAGTCTGCTACTGACTAGCCCACTAACTTTTTCTTGCTTAATAATTTAGAGAGTCTTTAATAACAACCCTAGATTGATCTCCCACTATCGATCAATGAGTGCTGATTGGCTAGTTAACAGCAAATACTCTCTCGTAAATTAAAAAATTTATTAAGCCGGTCTTTAACAGAAATAAAAAAAAAACATTAGTTACTACTGTTTTGCAGATTTAACTAAAAGAAAATCAATAAAAACGACTACTATCTTTCCTTTAGACCTCCTAATTTTCTCTCGGTAGAACTATCTTCAACTTTTAAATGATTGTTAATTTGTTAGAAATTTTAAACGACTAATAGGTATACAAGCTAATATTTATGCATTTTAATCATTGTATTAAGAGGCGCACATGTATACATGGTGGCACTGTTAATGTGAACATTCTATCTCTAAAAAGTGCTGCCATTTATACATATGCACCTCTTCATACAATGAGAAAGAAGTATCAATATTTTCCTCTATATCTATTGGTTGTATTCAATTTTCTTCTTTATTGTAATACTTCGTTTGCTTGTCATGAGCTTTATTCACAAATTCTTACCTCCAGCTTTTAATTATCTTCGATTGCCTACTTAGGTTAGGAAAGATTAACAAGACCTCAGTGGATGCCTGCACAGCCATGTTAACAACATGATAGAACTGATGTAGATGCAAGTCTTAAGAACAAAGCCTCTTAAAATATGGCGATGATTGTCCTAAACGTTTTTTATCCTTTTCACGGGATTCACCTGAGGATAATAGAAAATTGCAATTATGTGAGCTGCTGCATACTTAACTTATACTTTTTGTAGCCACTTATTACAGTGTCCCTTACCATTGTTGGTCAAGAAATATACTGGCATTTTCCAATAGAATGTTACAAGTTCC